GAGAGAGAGAGAGAGAGAGAGAGAGAGAGAGAATTTTTTAGTATTTATTTTTTTAGTTTTCGGTGGACACAACATCTTAACATCTTTTTTTTTTTTTTTTTTTAATGTGGTGCTGAGGATCGAACCCAGCGCCCCACGCATGCCAGGCGAGTGCGTTACCGCTTGAACCACACCCCCAGCCCTGCCTTGGTGTTATTTGAGTAACTGGTATCAAAATAACCTGTTATCTGCAAGAAAATGCAGGCAGGAAAAAAAGATTAATAAGAGGAAGGAACTCAAAGTTACTTAGAAGGGAGAGACTTTGTGACCCATTTTACAGATCAGATTCTATTAGGATAGTTCCCCCTAACCATAAAATCTGTAAGAATGTATGTTTAAGAATCCAGTTAGAATTGGTCAGCATGGGCCAAGGTAACCTAGAGTTGCCATGGCAGTGGGGACCTGAATGTCTGATTCACCCTGCAGTTAGTCACAAGTCAAGAGGTGGACCTAGGCGGGACTCCGGAGAAATTTCTCTGGGATCGCCAAGAAAACAAGTGCAGGAGAGACCCAYTGTCCATTTCCTCTCTGAAAARACCCACTCTCCCTTGAAGAGTGTCCCCTTTCCCTTTTCCTCTTCCTTTAATAAACTCATGCCTATTACTCTGAGTGACCTGTCTGAAATCTTTCTTAGTCACAGAATTGGAAGTTTGAAGAGGGGGTCCGGTCTTGTGGCTGCCTCAGTTTCTCAGAAGGCCCTAGCTTTCTAACAGTTTCTCTTTAAAAAAAAAAAAATTTTTTTTTTTTTTTAAACCAGGGATTGAACTGAGGGGTACTTTACCACTGAGCTACATCCCTAGTTGTTTTTAAATCTTTTATATTGAGGCAGAGTATTGCTAAATTGCTGAGGCTGGCCTTCAATTTGCAATCCTCCTTCTTTAGCGTCCCAAGTCACTAGAGATTATAGGCCTGTAACACTGATCCTGATGTCACTTTGTTACAGAGCTGGGGCCTGCTGAGAAACTAAGGCAGGGATATATTTTAATGAGCTAGCTTAGGGGTTTATATAGATATTGGATATGATGAGCATTGATCAAAATCTATGTCAAACAGGCATTGAGAACAGCACCAAAAGCACTGATCAAAGTCTATGTAAAACAGGCTAAATTGTTAAGGCTGGCTTTGAAATCCTCCTGCCTCAGCTTCCCAAGTAGCTGGGATTACAGGAGTGTGCCACCATGCCASTACGACTGGCTGCCTCTGGTCTTTTCTGTTTTGCTTTCTGTCTTAAATACATTTACTGCTTTGGCAGTTACTCATCCATAAGAAGTAAATTACCACATAATCTCTTTACAGATTTCTCTGACACGCTTGTCCAAGCAAAGTGCTAATACTTCCGCTCTTTTCATTCAGCTGCTTTACCATTCTGAACTCATTAAACTAATGAGCTACAAATACGGGATCTTGAGGACAGCAACTATGTCTGGTTCATCTTTACTTAGAGAGCCAGTCAGAGCAGTAGGCAGCGAAAAAATGCTTGTGGATTTAGTGAAAGCACTCTAAGGAACAAAATTAAAATAATTAATACTTATTTTTTGTGTGTGTGGTGCCGTGAATGGACCTAGAGTCTCACACATGCTAGGAAAGTGCTCTAACACAGAGCTACATAGAGACAGAGCCATATTAAGCTGCCTAAGGCTGGCCTCAAACTTGTAATCCTCTTGCCTTGGCCTCTCTAATTGCTGRGATTACGGGAATGTGCCACCAAGCCTGGCTGAATGTTATCTTAATTTCTTTTAAAATTCAGTATAATCTAAGTGCATTAAAAWTTTAAAATCCGGTTGCACTAGCACAGGCCTGTAATCCCATCAATCTGGGAAACTGGAGCAGGATGATTGCCAAGTGTATGATTCCTAAAAAATCTTAATCAGAAAAAAACTTTAAGATGTGGGTCTCATGGGGATAAATATGTCTGAAAGCATTCTTAAGAGAGAAATGAACCTCTTCTTTAATTCAATATAACTTGGCCAACATATTCATTCCAAGGCCTTAAAATAATCATGTTATTCATATTAAAAAAACTAGGATGACATACACAAAACATAAAATTAACCATTTTAAAGTATACAATTCAGTGGCAGTGAATGAATTCACAATATTATGCAATAATATTAAGTTCTGAAATAATCTCATTAACCTCAAAGATAATCCTGTACCCTTTAAGGACTTAGTCCACCGTCTCCCTCTGGACCCCAGAAACTACTAGAAACATTAACTTTTAAGATGTACTAAGTAACTGGGGTTTTTTGGTAGTGGAACTGAGCCCAGGGGTACTTTACTAGTGAGCTACATCCCTAGTTCTTTTATTTTGACCCAGGTTCACCCTGCATTGCTGAGGTCCGGCTAAGTTGCTGGGGTTGGTTTTAAATTTGCAGTCTTCCTGCCTCGGTCTACTGAATTGCTGGGATTAGAGGCATGTGCCTGGTTGTACTAACTTAAAAATATACACAGTAGATATTTTAAAAGACATAGATTTTAGAGGTATACACACATATTTTAGTTATACAGAAAAGAGAAGTACAGTTCTTTTTCAATAATCTCAAAATTTTCAGTTTTTATTAACCATTTTATGTACATTGATACTGAGTCCTGAAACTGATAAAAACATGTCCAGAGTTTCTTACATAGTTAATGTACAAATACTCATTTATATTTTGCATAATAATGAAAGTGAAAATGATACAATAGTTATAGTTACATAAAAATATGTACAAGGATACAAACTTTATTATCTGACTTATAAAAGTGTAGATACTACACAAAAAAATGAGATTATAATTTTCAGAAAAGGAAAATGTGACCAAAATCCCTTTTCTTCTTAGAATTTAAAAATAAAATTGCTGATAATAAATTCCTAATGGACAGCCAAATCTTGGACTAATTCAAATTAGCAAGGGTTAGAGAGGTGAAGCATTATGCTTTTTTCCCCACAATGCTCGGGATGGAACCCAGAACCTCAGGAATGTTAGACAAGCACTCTATCATTGAGCTACATGCCCAGTCCAACATCTGGCATTTAAAAACTAAGGTTTGTAGTTTAAAAATACATCTTCTAAAAATTAAAAATGGCTTATTCATTTTATTCCAGATTCTGGAAACACRCTAGGAAAAGTAAATGTTGAAAACTTGATTCTTTGGAAAGATGTACCTCTAGTACTGGAAAACATCGTCAGGGGGACCTGGTGGTCAAACCCTAAGAAGAAACTCATGATATACCAATAATACTCAGAACAAAGAGGGAGAAATAATAAGCACCTGTTTTACATTAGAATTATAAGGCATGACATGATTTTAATGAGTTTTGAAAAGGATTTCAAATATTAGTTTAGAGAACCACTGATCTTATGACAACCTTGAAAATAGTACATCACACATTATCAAGATGCTATCTTTTTTTGGTGTGGGGGTATACTGGGCACTGAACTCAGGGGCACTCAACCACAGAGCCACATCCCCAACCCTTTTTTTGTATTCAGGGTCTCACTGAGTTGCTTAGTGCCCAGCTTTTGCTGAGGCTGGCTTTGAATTCTGGATCCTCCTGCCTCAGCCTCCCAAGCCACTGGGGTCATAGGGATGTGCCGCTGCACCCAGCTCAAGATGCTGTCTTACTAAGGAAATTTAGTTTCTAAAAAGAGTAATTAGAATTTTATTCTACTGGCTTGAGAAGCAGTTTCCTATTTTGAATTACATGACAACACAATCATTAAGTTAATGTCATAAAAAGAATAATGATACTAGTTTAGAAAAGGAGAAAGAGCCTCTTTCACTGGGTTGTAACAATGAGCTTAGAGGGGTCAGGACTGGAAAGCATGCATTGGGGGCAGGGCAGGGGCTCAGGTACCAAGCTGCTTATGCTCAAGGACAGAACAACACAAGGCACCCAGACAACTCAGAATGGCAGTGGCACCTGGATGCACAGTTACCACAGAGGGCCAGAGACAGGCTGCTGCTGCATCAGCTTTGGCCCATGTACTATGGGAATCAATYCCTGCCTTCAACAGTAAATTGAAAATACAAATATCTAAAAGCATACTTACCAAAAATAAATCTATTTTTATTTATGCTCATATTACAAAGCACAGAGGAGACATAAATTTTTTTTTCTTCTGGTACTGGGGATGGAAACTAGGGATGCTCTACCTTTGAGCTACATTCTCAGTCCTTTTTAAAATTATTATTATTTTTTATTTTGAAATAAGGTCTAGTTGCTAAGGCTAGCCTCCTACTCCTGCCTCAACTTCCAGAGTCAGGATAGTTGGTGTGTACCACTCTGCCTCGAAACATTTGATTATTATTATCATTATTATTATTTAGTACCAGGCATTGAATCCAGGGGGACTTTACCATTTGAGCCACATCCCCAGCCCTTCTTAAAATATTTTATTTGGAGACAGGGTCTCTCTGAGTTGCTAAAGCTGGCTTTGACCTCATGATCCTTCTACCTCGGCCTCCCAAGCTGCTGGAATTACAGGCATGCACTACCATGCCTGGCAACATTCGATTATTTTTAAAAGAAATCTAAACAATGATGAGGTTTCTCTTTACTTCATCTTAAAAACTAACTTTGAGAAACAAACACCTAAAAAATCCTATGACTATTAATATGTAACAAGGCACTTAAAACATTCCTTTCCAATCCAACTCAAAATATACCTGTCAACGTTCTGGAAAAAAACTTGTTAAAAAGCACTTAATTTTGGTGCAATTTTTCATGGAATCCAGTGATATTTACCATTTACAAGGCAGAAAGCCCCAACTTCCTGCAAAACAACCTGAAAAGTGCTTTCATCAGTAACAGGAACACTGCTAGTGGTTTGCTCTTTCACTGACAACATCCTGCAGTCGTTTGAGTAAAACATCATCATTTTCTTGGCAGAGGCGTTTGGCAGGTGATTCTGCATCTCCACTGATGGCTATTGCTCGCTTCTTGGTTCTCTGGTCACCTTGCCTTATCATGTTGTTGATGTCTTTCAAACTCTATGCAAAAGTAGAGAACACGTGTGAATGAAAGGAGTGGGGTAGGGAAATACTAACAAAAACTGCTTTTTCCTACCCTCTTTTACTCGAATCTAAACATTGGAATAGAAATTATCTTTTGAATCTAGACCAACCTCACAGGGATAGCTAGAACTCATTTTTTGGGTGATTTTAAAAGTTGATGAACCTCATAACAGAAGTTCTCATAACAGCAGTCCTCAGACCAAAGCAGCAGAAGCATGTGGGAACTTATTAAGAATACAGATTCTGAGTCAGACATTTTGGGGGTGGCCTCTAGAAATCCATATTTTGATAGGCCCTTCCAGTGATTCTGATGCTGTCTAAAGTTTGAGATCCTCTTCCTTAGGGTAGTGCTTTTCAAAGGTTAAGATGGTTACTAATCATCTGGGAATCTTGTTAAAATGCAGATTTAGATTTAGCTGGGGCCTCTGATTTTTTATTTCTAATAAGTTCCCAAGTGATGCKGATGTTGCTGGTTCATGAACCATCCTGAGTAGCAAGGACTCAGAGAAGTGACTCCTGAAAGTTGTGCATCACAGTCATCTTGGAAGTGTGTAATAGTTAGAGTCTCAGAACTGCCTGCTAGTATTTTGTTTTTCAGGAGGTCTGTGGGACAGGTTTCTGAGTTCAACCAGTTTCCCAGGTGATTCTGACTCATGGTTTCAGAGTCACTACCTCGGAAATCAACTGGTCCAGGGCTGGGGCTGTAGCTCAATGGTAGACCGCTTGCCTAGCATGGGTGGCAATAGGTTTGATCCTCAGCACCACATAAAGTAAATAAATAAAATAAAGTTACAAAAAAAAAATTAAAAAGAAAAGAAAGAAATCAACTAGTCCAACCCTTGATCACAAGCAAGGATCTCTTCTACACAGAAATCAATTTCTACGAGGAAGAAGTACAGGTCTGTATCTTAGTCAACTTTCTTTGCCAAATATAGTAATAACACAGTAAGTGTCTGTTGTAACTGAATAGGAAATTAATGAGCTTAGGAGCTGCCATTGCATTTGGACCAAGAATTTATTCCAGTCAATACTGATCTGTCTTCTGGAGATATACTGAATATATCTGCTTGACAGCCCAAGATATATCTGAAAATGCCAATCATATATATCCCTATTCATCACTGTATGGAAATGAAGATGAAGATAATATTTTCATAAGAGTGTACATAAGAAGAGGGCCTTGTTTTCAGACTTTTCACTATCGTGGTTGTCATCCATCAAATGCACTTGAAAGTGCGTTCCTAGTCCTTTAAACTTAAGATTCACCCACGAGGAATGTACTACAGTTCCAATTACTCAGAGATTGAGGTAGGAGGATCACTTAAATCCCGAAGTTCAAGGCCAGCCTGGATATAGTGAGACTGTGTCTCAAACTCAAACTCAAACACACACACACACACACACACACACACACACACACACACACACACTCCCCCATGTCTGATCACTTGTAGATGCTGCCTTCCTGGTCTCTTCTTGAACAGGGATATCCATGGGACTTTTGAAGTGAACTCTTTTAACACACCAATAGCAATAGATCAAATTATCTCAACAGAATATACAGCTCCTTTTTATTTTCTACTTTCTTTTTTTCAGTGCTAGACCCAGGGTCTCATGCCTGCTAGGAAGCACTACACTACTGTATTGCACCCCTGCCCTGAATATACTGTTCTTATTACAGAAAACATGCCATAGTTAACAGTTTATATGTGTGTGTGTATATATATATATATATATATATATATATATTTTGGTACTGCGGATTGAACTCAGGGGCACTTAGCCACTGAGCTACATCCCCAGCCCTGTTGTGTATTTTATTTAGAGACAGGGCCTCACTGAGTCGCTAAGTGCCTCACTTTTGCTGAGGCTGGCTTTGAACTTGTGATCCTCCTGCCTCAGCCTACTGAACCCCTGGGATTACAGGCGTGCACTACTACCTCGCCCAGCTGGAGCAGTTGATATTTTATCAGTAGCAACTTTACAAAAAAAACAAAACCAGAATCAATGATTACTGACTGATAATTTGTTTTTTTTTGGTATGCACTTTTTTTTTTTTTAATATTTATTTTTTTTTTTTAGTTCTCGGCGGACACAACATCTTTGTTGGTATGTGGTGCTGAGGATCGAACCCGGGCTGCACGCATGCCAGGCATGGCGCGCTACCGCTTGAGCCACATCCCCAGCCCCTGACTGATAATTTGAAAGCCATTATTATTATTATTATTAATTTTTTGGGGGGGTAAAGTTACTAGAAATCCAACTTTTCTGGCAAAGTTATATGACAATCTTAGCTTGAAATCCAATTTTTTTAAAAAAATGTGGTTTTCAACCCAGATGCCCTTCAATAGATGAATGGATAAAAAAAATGTGGCATCTATACACAATGGAGTACTATGCAGCAATAAAAAATGACAAAATCATAGAATTTGCAGGGAAATGGATGGCACTAGAGCAGATTATGCTTAGTGAAGCTAGTCAATCCCTAAAAAACAAATACCAAATGTCTTCTTTGATATAATGAGAGCAACTATGAACAGAGAGGGAGGAAGAGCAGGAAGAAAAGATTAACATTAAACAGAGACATGAGATGGGAGGGAAAGGGAGAGAAAAGGGAAATTGCATGGAAATGAAGGGAGACCCTCATTGCTATACAAAATTACATATAAGAGGTTGAGAGGGGAATGGGAAAATAAACAAGGAGAGAAATGAATTATAGTAGATGGGGTAGAGAGAGAAGATGGGAGGGGAGGGGGGATAGTAGGGGATAGGAAAGGTAGCAGAATACAACAATTACTAATTGGGTATTATGTAAAATTGTGGATGTATAACCGACGTGATTCTGCAATCTGCATTTGGGGTAAAATTGGGAGTTCATAACCCACTTCAATCTAATGTATGAAATATGATATGTCAAGAGCTTTGTAATGTTGTGAACAACCAATAAAAATTAAAAAAAAAAAATGTGGTTTTGGGGATCGAACCCAGTGCTTCACATGTGCTAGGCAAGCGCTCTACCACTGAGCCACGACCCCAGCCCTGAAAGCCAATTTTAACAAGTACACGTACTTAAGTTGTTTTGGAGTGAAGTCTCTGTGCACCTTACCTTAGAAGGACTGCCATTGAACTTATACAGCAGAGCACTCCTTGGTGTAAGGCCTGACCCATTCTTGTGTGGCGAAACATAAATGGAATGCTGCTGAGAAATTCGGCGTGGTGAGCCAGGTTGTTGCTTAATATGTGGAAAAGGAGAGAGTGGTGGAGCATCCATCTAAAGTAACCCAAAAATCAGATTAAAAAAAATTTTTTTTCTTGTTTTGAACTTACCTTTGTTTTTTTTGTTTTTTTGTACTGGGGATTGAACAAGGGTGCTTTATCACTGAGTCACATCCCCAGCCCTTTTTATTTTTATTTTGAGACAGACAGGGTCTTGCTAAGTTGCTGAGGCTGGCTTTGAACTTGTGATCCTCCTGCCTCAGCCTCCCGAGCGGCTGGGATTACAGGTGTGCCATCACGCCCAGCTAGAGCTTTCTTTTTTATAGCCCATGCCTGGTCTTCTGGAGATACCTCAGCCTAGACAATGGTAACACTTCCTCAGTCCAACTGTTACTGCCCAAACTGGGGTCTATATAAACATTTCTCAGTATTAACTTTATTAAAGATCCAGGCCTACTTATTTCCTTTGAGAAAAACACTCAACTCACAATATAATAAGAGAAACCAAAAGCAACAGAAAAAAAAAAATACCCAAGTACCCAAATTAATTGTTTTAATATTTTCTTGTTCCCACTGAGCCTTGCCAATATGTATACCTAATTTTTAGCAATAAAACCACAGGTCTCTGATCTACAACAGCCTTACTCACTAATTTCCTAGTCATTCTATAATTAATTGCCAGTGAATATGCTATCTATAACAGCCTTACTCACTAATTTCCTAGTCATTCTATAATTAATTGCCAGTGAATATGCTACTATATAAAGCACCAGTGAGGCTTTAAACTATGCAATACTTATTTAGCAAAATACACCAACTATAACTATAATTATTAATATAGTAATAAAATGTAAAACGTACCACATGGTCCTGATTTGACAAGTCATATTTCAATGCAAATGACTTCACTCTTCCTACATATATTGTATTGTAAAATTTGATAAGATCACCTCTTTCCTCTTTCASTGGTCCACTGGGACAGTTAGGTGTTTTTGTGGCATTTTCCAAATCTGTTAAAAAGAATTCAGTGTTGTGATAGGCTTATTTTAATATACAAGCTGGTGATTTGAATTATGGCTATCTTTATGATATAAAAAAAACCCACATGGGGCTGGGGATGTGGCTCAAGCRGTAGCGCGCTCGCCTGGCATGTGTGCGGCCCGGGTTCGATCCTCAGCACCACATACCAACAAAGATGTTGTGTCCGCCGAGAACTAAAAAATAAATAATAAAAATTCTCTCTCTCTCTCTCCTCTCTCACTCTCTCTTTAAAAAAAAAAAAAAACCCACAAATCCTTATGAAAAGCAATTAGTATTTCCAGAGAAGGTTCATAAATCCATCTGCATTATTTTTAGATCAAATTGGAATCTAAAGAAATATAAGCATGTGAACTAAAGGTGGTGCTCTTTCTCTAGATGCCACTTAAGCAAGCATTTTTCACAGCCATAGCCTTGAACTCACCATCAAGGTTGCACCATCCTTGGCTAGGATATAGTTAAAGCTTCATGGTATGGGTGGCAATAGCAAACCCTGAGCTTCAGATAACAAAAAGGCCTGCAGATATTCTGACCGACTCTTTTAAAAAGGTAGAAAAAAAATTAAAAAAATTWTTTTTGTTGTTGTTGTAGATGGACACAATGCCTGTATTTTTATTTATTTTTATGTGGCGCTAAGGATTGAACCCAGGGCCTCACACATGCTAGGTGAGCGCTCTACCGCTGAGTCACAATCACAGCCCTCAAGGATGCCCTTTTAAAAAGAAATGATGTTTAATCAAGTTGTCCCATCAGTCTTATACAACAAGAACATACAAGAGATAATCATAGAGCAATCAAGAATGAGTTCTGCAGCCAGCCATCTCAGAGTTAGCACCCTTAACTCTGGTTATTAGCAACAAGAAACAAACAAAAAATAACAACAAAAAAAGGGGTGTGGGGTGAGTATTGTGTGGATTAGCTGGGGAAAGCACATTCGCAAGGCTCTAGAAACCTAAGTGTTAACCATGGTGAGAATCTGAATTATTTGTAAACTATTAGATAATCCCATGTGACTTGCAATGTATCCATCCAGGCAATGAAATAAAACAAGTACAATTTAATAAAAATGTTCCAAATAGGTTTATTGTTGGCAAGGTAGCAGATAGAAAACCTAGTGGGAATATTTTTATGGTCATGTCCATAGCAAATGGGAAACTGCATTCTAAAAGACTTGGTAATGACCACACTTAAATTACTCTTTAAAAAATTAGCCTTTAAAATAACAAAAAAGTCTAGAGATGTAGCTGAGGGATAAAGCACTTACCTAGCTGTATAAGGGGATGGGGGACAGAGGACAACGAACCATATTCATTCACAAAATATAATAATTTTTTTTTTTTTTTTTAGTTCTCGGCGGATACAACATCTTTGTTGGTATGTGGTGCTGAGGATCGAACCCGGGCCACATGCATGCCAGGCGAGTGCGCTACCGCTTGAGCCACATCCCCAGCCCAATAATTTTTTTAATATACATTTTTTTTAGTTGTCGATGGACCTTTATTTTATTTGTATATGGTGCTGAGAATTGAACCCAGTACCTCACACATGCTAGGCAAGTGCTCTACCACTGAGCTACAACCCCAGCCCAAAATACAATAAATCTGACACTGCTTATAAACAAAATAGTAAATAAAAGCTGCTATTTACTGAGATATTACTGTAGGCAAGCCTTGTGTTAAATTCTGTAATTCTTTTTAACAAGTCCTAAGTAAATACTGTAAAATTTTCAATTTACTATATCTACTTGAGTATTATTATGTTATTTAAGTCATAATTTAGTCCTCGTAAGTCTTCAAATCAAGAATGCCAGCCTGGGGTGGTCTGCTAACATGGCAGTGAAGAATTCACAGTCCACGAATGGGGGGGCTAATACGTTCATCAGGTAGCTCATTCTCCACAGGGCTGGTCTTAGGCATATCTCAAACATGAACAATGCTTTGCTAATTAATATAATCAACATCAGAAATGGGTTTTTGGTAATGAAAGAAGTGACCATTTATTAAGTGTGACTGTAACAGGGGTCCCTTTCACAAAATGGAGTCCACTTCATGCTTTGCTGCTAGACCACTGGCAACTTATTTTAAAACTGACATATTTATTCATCCTTCTTCTCCCTTTCCCCTTCCCAACCACAGGAGAAGGAAGATTAATTCCTGCCCTAAGTCGAGTTATCTGAACTTCTGCTCACTATGCAAAAGAACAAAGATACTGGACACAGAAATAACAGCTCTTTTAAGGATATAAGTCTTAGCATGGTGCATAAGGTGACAACAGGGTGCAATCTTGCTTGTAGTGGCAGAAACATCTAGGGACTTATAAACAGATAATTTCCTTAATTGGCTCCTCAAGAAGATCATGGACAGCTGTTTTCCCTGTCATTCATATTTTTAAATTTTAAGAATCTTTTATGTGTTTGATCAATGTATATATTTAGAGTAGAAAACTTCACCCAAAACACAGTTTACAGAGGACAAATTAATGGTCTCTGTGGAAGAAAGCACGACACATTCTTTTTCTCAAACTTATTTCCTTTCTTTTTTTTTTTTTTTTTGAGACAGAGTCTCACTATGTCACCCAGGCTGATCCTGAACTCATGAGCTCAGGTGATTCTCCCATCTCAGCCTCCCAAGTAGCTGGGACTATAGGCCAGAGTCACCATACCTAGTTTGTCTATTTCTTTTTAAAAAAATGTGTGTACTTCCCACCATACCTACATCATGACTCTGTGTTACCTGGCATCCACTATGTGATGTACAAGATAATCAAAGGTGTATTACATACAACATGTCAAATTGGATAGCTTACCATCATCTGTCATTTCAAAATCACCATTTATATTATTGTATGCCACTTCTTTTGGAACACTTTTCAAAAGAACACTTCTATACACCTAAGGGCCAAAGGGAGGGAAAAGTATAGCTGAATCAAAGATGCACATGTTCAGCAAAATCAAAATAACAAGAGCAAAATATCAAGCCAATTAAAAAGAATGTGTCACATGGGTGATAATCAAAGGTAAAATGTTATTAAATCTCTTAAGTGTAGWCTAGGGCAAGCATCATGGAAGAAGAAATACTAAGGCAGAGCCTATTACCTAAAATGTACCATCTTAGTTTATAAAAAAAAGAAAAATTAAGAAGTAACTAGTCTGATGAAYAGGTTCTTATGAAATAAAAATCACCTCAAAGATAAGAACTCATTCTTTCTTTTAATTCATTTTCATTTTTTAAGTTATCTTTTTCTTTAACGTTTATTTATTTGTTTTTATGTGGTGCTGAGGATTGAACCAAGCACCTTGCATATGCTAAATGAGTGCTCTACCGCTGAGCCACAGCCCCAGCTTTGGGTTGCCCCTAGAGCATTCCAATCTCCTTTCTGATGGAGAAAAGGAAATTTGTTTTCCTCCCTGATTTTTCTACCTCCAAGATAGCTGGAAAAACAAGTTCCATTTCCTTTTATCCTATAGGTAATTGGTCTTGAGAAGATATTCAGAAAGTAGTGGCTAGGCCCATTTTTAACCTACATTACTCATCTTAAACATCTTTAGGGACATCTGAACCTCTCTAGATTCTGCTCCTGAGGAGTTTTTCCTAATGAAAAGGCCCAGAAATTTTTAGTTTGTCAAAAGACTTAAATTCCTGTAGTTGGCCTTTTCCAAGTCTCTATCTATACTACCCATCACTGGTCTATTTTGGGGCTTCAGGAAAGAAGTAAAACTATTTTTACATTCTCTTACAAGGAGGTATGACTATCTGCCCTAACTTTCTCTTTCTGTGTGTGACCTCCAGGTCCAAAAAGGAGGCTATTATATACTACCTAACAGCAAAGCAAATAGATTCTTGAATGACCAAAGCCTTAAGTTGTATTCTGCTGCAATAGTAACAATGGGAATTGAAAGTTCATTAAATACTTCCTATGTACCAGAGTACCATGCCAACATTTTACATTTCCATGCTAGAAAGGATTTACTGGATTCTCATCACAACCAGTGTAATAAATTATCAGAGATGCTTAACATCTAATCAAAGATGCAAACGTAAAGATTCTCCATAGATGACAGAAGAAGCTGTAGTTAAATAAATTAATCCTCAAATTTCACCAAATTTAAACATTATCAGAGAATCAAGATTTAAATGATTTTTTAGTTGTAGACAGACACGATACATTTATTTATTTATCTATTTATTTATCAGTATTTATTTTTTTAGTTACAGTTGGACATGATACCTTTATTCCAAACATTTAGTTTTTTATGTGGTGCTGAGGATAGAACCCAGGGCCCTGCGTATGCTAGATGAGCGCTCTACCGCTGAGCCACAACCCCAGCCCCAATTATTTTATTTATTTATTTTAACGTGATGCTGAGATTGAACCCAGTGCCTCACACATGATAAGCAAGCGCCCTACCACTGAGCCGCAACCCCAGCCTGAGAATCAAGTTTTATATAACGAAGACATATTATTATGATACATCTTTCACTAGACTTCCTAGTACAAAATGTCTCCCCACAAGAAATGGACAAACAGAATGGCAGTTCTTGTGAGAAGTACATCTAAGCATTCGGATGAGTCAGAAACAACAAGACTTCTCAGCTTCTGCTAAAATTGTCCTTTAATGAAACTAGCTCTTGAGTTTAATGGTATCCACTAAACCAGATAATCTAAAGTTAAATAAATTAATCCTCAATTTAATACAGTAAAACTATAAAGGAGGTTTATCTTTTATATAACTCATTAGCAAAAAAAAAATAGTACAAATCTATTTTTGGATAGTAGGAAAAAGAATGTAACTCACATGACTATTAGCTTGAGGCTGATTCCTGTAACTTTTCATTATTTCTTGAAAAGTTCTTTCTTCTTTTGTTACCTAAGAGAAATAAAAAGCTACATTTGCCAACTGGCTTTTGAAAGAAAAATGGTTTGAACAAAAACTTCAATTATAGGTTGGCACTGAGAGCAGCCTTGCAGAAAAGCCATTAACCCAAGGGCAATCCATGACTAAAAACCACTAACATTTATGATTTTTATTACCTTTAAAGTTCAGGTTTTTACGGCCAGTGGGGACTCAGTTAATAGTTTCATTAATCAAAAAGCACCGAAATTGCTAAGGTATAAATCTACTGAGAATGCATTTCTTTATAAAAAGAATGAGATAAGAAAACTCAGACCTGCTGAACCCCATGCAGTCTCCAGTTTTCTTAGTTTTAAGTACTTATTTAAGAGTAATTTAACTACATATTAAATAATAGAAACTGTTTTACAGTGATTCACAGTAAAACTGAATAGCTATTGTAGGATTAGGTTTTTAACATTTCAGGACAGAGTAGGGTTTCTAATACTTAGATGTCAAGAGGTGGCTCACAGAAAGGAAATGGGTTAGTGATCCAAAAGCAAATCCATTTTGTTTTATCTGTTAATATAACATTCACTAAAATTACACCTTTCTCTGCTACACAGTCTATTAGCACTAAACCTGCTGTCTAYAATGATGAGCTAGAAATGACAAAAACCTGAACTCTGACAGTTTTCTGGAAAATGGAAATGGTTAGTTTTTAACATTTAWTAAGACCTATTTTGTACAGAGATTTTTAAAGAAGCATTGTGGGAGGAGGTGCTCACAAAGGAGTTTGAAAACACGTCCTTTACTTTAAAAATCACTTCTTAAAATTGTATTCAAGGGGAGGAGGGAAGAAGTGCTGGGGAGTGATATTACCAAATTATATTGTTGTATTGTGTGCATGCACAAATATGTAACAACAAATCCCACCACTATCTACAACTATAATGTACCAATTAAAAAATATGGGGATTGCATATACAAGGGCCTGGATTCAATTCCCAGCACCAAAAAAAAAAAAAAAAAAAAGTAGGGGAACAAAAAACCAACTATACATCAATTAGAACTGATGGTTTGGCCTACAGTCAAGACAAAAGTAGAAAGAAATTTTTCAGATATAGAATTTTAAAAAACAAGTAAAATATGCTATTTTATGTCTTAAAACATGGTGTAGCATGGACTGGGGCTGTGGCTCATTGCGGTAAAGCGCTCGCCTAGCATGTGTGAGACCCTGGGTTCCATCCTCAGTACCACATAAAAATGAATAAGTAAAATAAAGTATTGTGTCCAACTACAACTAAAAAATATAAAGAAAAAAAAAGCATGGTGTAGCAACTTAAAAGTAAAATGCATTTCTGAGGCAGCACGATAAAACACCAGAAAGAAATATAGAAGCGTTTTTTTTTTTTTTTCCTTTTTTGGGCAATACTGAGGACCGAACCCAGGGGCACTCTGCCACTGAGTGACAACCCTAGCCCTTTTTATTTWGAGACAACCTAGCTGAGGCTGGCTTCAAACTTGTAATCCTCCTATCTCACTCTCCTCAATTCCTGGAATTACCGGCGTGTACCACCACATCAGGCTAGTGCAGAAGATATTTTACACTAGATTATAAGTGAGGAGATCCTAGGCTGCTACTTACTGTGTAACTTGGGCCAAATTATTTTGAGTTTTGGGCCTCATTATTTCACCTAAAATGTAATGATTATCTCGTTTATAAGTATCACATCAGAAACGTCAAGGAGTAGGGGTGGAAATGGCATTATTCATATATTCTCTTTTATGACCAATTTATTCTTATGAAATGAAAAGCTGTTTATGATGAAACTAACTGAAGAGTCCAGGGAATAGAGTATCTTAAAATTACTATTTAATAATAGTGGGTACTGTTGTTTTGTAGCACAAAAGCAAACGAAGGGTCAAGTTCAAGAAATTTTTGCTTGATATTTTAAATAAGGTAACTAGAGCCAAGACCTTCTCTATGCTTACCTTCGCCATGATGTAAAAGGCACAAAGAAGGAGCTGGTCCAAATGCCTATCTTTCATCAAATCAGGGCAGTGAACTAAGGTGAATTCAAAACATGTCCATATCTTTCTTCGTAATTCATTTGAAACATCCAGTTTTAAACATAAATCGCGTAAGCGTACACTTGCTAAATGATAAACCTAAGATATAAGATAACACATTGATATAAAAAAATTAAGTGAGTCATTTCTCAAGCTTTTATGGTTTACCACTGAACATGGGCTTACAGACCAAGACAAAACAATATCTAGGGTGCTGATATTTTACTTAAAATTTCTGTTCAATAACACTAGTTAACTGCTATGGCAAGAGTATACAGATTAAAGAGAAATTATCTTTGGAATAACCCTTGCACCCCCAGTTTGGGACTAGGGATTGAACCCAGGGTGCTCTACCATTGAACTACAACACCAGTGCTTTTTTGAGACAGGGTCTCACTAAATTGCAGAGGCTGGCCTTAAACTTGCAATCCTCTTCCCTCAGCTCCCAAACCACTGGGATTAGTCAAGCAGATCTTTAGCATACTTCAAAAAACTCCCCCTCCCCCTATTTTATGGTGCTGGGGATCAAACCCAGGGTCTCTTATATGCTAGACAGGTGCTCTATGAATGAGCTACATACCCAGACCCTAAAAACACTTTATAAAGATGCTACTTGTTATTCTATGTTATTAACCATAGAAAATAAGAAATACTAAAAAGTAGGGTTTATCTACATGATGACCATTATGAATGCATAATTTTTCAAGTGCTCAGGAGTTTATGTTTGTTTTCTTTGGGTTTAGGTAAAATTGTTAGAAAGGTTAACAGAACTAAAAGTTGGGGCTGGGGTTGTAGCTCAGTGGTAGAACACTCGCCTAGCAGGTATTAAGCACTGGGTTCGATCCTCAGCCCCACATAAAAATACATGAAATAAAAATATTGTGTCCATCTACAACAACAACAAAACCTAAAAAAATAAATAAATAATTTTTTGGGGTACTGCAGATTGAACCCAGAGGTACTTTACCACTGAGCCACATCCCCAGTCCTTTTTACTTTTTATTTTGAAACAGAGTCTCCCTAAGTTGCTGAGGCTAGCCTCAAAACTTTGATCCCCCTGCCTCAGCCTCCCAAATTGCTGGGATTACAGGTGTGAGCCACTGCTTCTGGGGAAGGCTTCACAGCATAGGTTTGTGTGCAAAATCATCTGGAGAATCAACTGCCCCAAAATGCACAAATAAAATAATTACAGTTGAAAGCAACAAAAGACAATGAACATTATTGTAGAAACCAGGACTGTTTTCCAGTGTCTGGTCTCTTTTTTTTCTACGTAATAAAACTCTTGCCAAGGGCTGGGGATGTGGCTCAAGCGGTAGCGCGCTCGCCTGGCATGCATG